CCCGAATAGAGTTTTAGAGGTTTTTCTAATATGTACTTCTTTCTTGATTTGTTAGTAGTTAAAAACATATATTTCTCATTCCCTTCAGTTTCAGATTGTGTATCATATCTATGAAGATATATGTCTTTGAAACTCAACAAATTTGATTTGGACTTTGGTGAAAATATAGCATCATCTATGGAAAACTTTGTTCCATTTGGAAATACAAAACTTGCTCTACCAGTCCCCTCAACCAGATCTACAGGACCTGATATTGTATTGATTATTGTCTTTATTAGTATTAAATCAGAGAAGTACTTTTCAGATTTTAAGATAGTGTGCGTTGTACCACTATCTGCAATACAAATATCCCCGGTATTAACTTTGAATTTAGCTCCATTCATATTAAGCTTCACACAATAATAATAATAATATCATAAAAATTTCATGAATTTTAAGAAAAAACATAACATAGGATTTTATATAAAGAAGTACAACATACATAGAACATATCCAATACAAATATATAAGAGCATAATATATCTATCGAGTTATCACTAATAGTTTTATCTATAAAGTCAGTTGTAAAGTCTGAAACATCAAGATGGGTTGAGTCATTTGTAGGATCGTGGTGTTTATTAAAATTTACTTCCTTTTCTTGCTCCTTCAAAGATGCCTTGTAAAGTTTACAAAGATGTTTTGGTGTTCGACAAATTCTAGACCAATGTCTTTTAGTATCGCATCTGTAACCGAAATTTTCAAGATTCCGGGAACAACTTGCATCATCATCTTTTCTTTTGTCATGACGCTTCTTTTGGATCACATCATTTTGTGAAGGGTTGTAATAACAACTTCTACCACGTCCTCGACCACGAGCACGATTTTGCCCCTGTCCTGAATTTTTAGAGAATGCAGTATTTGTTGGTCTCCGAATCGAATTCGGATGCGGAAGCGTGGGGGGAGGCAGATCGTGTATAACAAAAATTTTCATAAAACCTTTGAGATACTCTATAGATTATATTAAATTATGCACGAATAAATTAATCTCATTAATTCATTTATTAAGAACTCAATTAGGAAAAATACCTGTAGACCGACTCGGATGATTACTTGAGTTCTTTGACCTCGAACAATCCTTACTCCAAAGCTTTGTGTTTAGAAAACCAATGTCTTCCACGTCAATTCCTAGAATCCATGAAGACGTGTGTGTGGGCACACATGAGATAAAACGGGTTACAATAAACACTCAAATTTCCACAAACACCAACGCATGCATGATGTGGAATTTTTGGAGAAAAATTTTCCTTTTTCCTCTCTAAGAGAATTTCAGCCATAACTGGAATTAGGGCAAAAATTGTCTCAAAAATTGTGTCCACAATTTTCTACTATTCTCTTATTTATAGAGTAGAAGTCAGACTTCAAGAAGGAATCCAATCTCTATCTCCAAGATAAAGCTTGTTAATTATCTCATATTTGAATTTGAAACAAAATCTCCCATTCCCTTATCCTTAAGTGTGGCCGGCCAAGATAGGGGATTCTCATCCCTGTGTGGTGCCAATTTTGAGATAGGAAAAGAAGAGAAAATCATCCTTTATCATGTAGTCCAATTTTGAGTCAAATTCAAATTCCAATTTAAGTCAAACTTAAATTAATTTGAATTCTAAATTGAACAACTTATCAAATAAGTTTAAATGGATAAATCTAGATGTGTTCAAATTTAAATTTAAATAATCATATTATCTAAATAATAATTAATTCTCAATTAATTAATTTTGAGTGTTTAATTTTAGAATTCTGTAATTCTAAAATTCCCATTTTGTCCTTTGTGTCTCGTAGAATTACTAGGACAACGCGGGGACTAATGGACCTATAATCCTGAGCTCCAATAAAATTAATAATCAATTAAACACTTAATTCTATTAATTCTTGAGTACCATTGATTCTCTAATGGACAGTGATTCATAAAACACATTCATGAATCGGAGCTCCTACTGGTCCAAGTACCAAATCAACCCTCAAGAGAATTATTTATCTACTTCTTTCTTAAGAAGGAATGGATTTCATCTCGTGTAATAACATTCCCGGGTACCTACTTCATCATGTCTCCAAAATACAAGGAATAGGATTCAGGATCTCAGAATCCGTACCGAGTAAATCAAAAGACACAAATCCATAAATAGGAGTCTGTTAAGAACTCAGGATTAAGATCATTCTATATATGACCATCGGTAGACTCAATTAGAATTTCTATACTTAACAGAAATTATTAGAAATTCATATTGTGTATGTGTCCTTGTTCCACATAATCTCATTATGTGAAATACATTCATTCAATATCTCACCATATTAACAGTGCGGATAATACCGTTCCATTCTAAATGAGAATGACATGTATTAATAATGTTTTAATTAAAGATTCCGAACTTTAATTAAATTCATTATGAACATTGCTTTTTAATTATTATCCTTAAACATTATCCTCTCGTATATAACACTTATATACAATGTTTAAGGTTACATAAATAATCACAGAATTTTCATTGATATTCATAAAATATTCACAAATATATACACATAAAATGATGAATAAACTCTTTTATTAAATAAATAATAAATATCATATTACATCTTATGCTTCTAGGACACCATTCCCAATAGTATTTGCTTCTGAAAATGTTGTTGAACCTGTGGGACGAGACTGGTGATTTTTAATCAACAATTCATTATTTTTCGCTGCCACAAGAAAAGCTGAGATTAGCTCATAAAATTTCTTATAACCGCGCAAACTGTATTGTTGTTGCAAGGTAATGTGAGATGCATGAAAAATGGAGTAGGTTTTCTCTAGCATTTCACCATTTGTGATATTTATTCCACAAAATTTCAGTTGTGAAACAATTCTAAACATGGTAGAGTTGTAGTCGTTGACTTTCTTAAAATCTTAGAAATGTAAATTATTCCACTCATCGCGAGTGGCTGAAAGTACGACTTCTTTCTGGTGATTGTATCTCTCCTTCAGACTTTTTTAAAGGACAAGTGGATCTTTAACCGTGAGATATTCGCATTTCAAGCCTTCATCAAGATGTTTACGAAGGAAAAATTGTTTTCGCATTTTCTTCTGGTGACTTGTTATTATTTTCTTTAATGGTATCGGTTAGACCCATTGACTCTAGATGCATTTCTACATCTATAATCCAAGACATATAATTCTTTCCTATGATGTCGAGTGCAACGAACTCAAGTTTGGCAAGATTCGACTTTGTGATAACTATAACATAACATCGACATAATAAGAATCACAATATTATCATTACAATAGAGAGTACAATTAAAATTACATGTTAATCATAATAGCAATAAATAAAAGGGGAAATATTACACGTATGAGTATTGTAAGGAAAAACTGAAAATCGTTTCGAGAATGATCTCCAATAAAAAGAGCTAAAATATAGAAAATAACTACTAAAATAACAAGCATCATCATCATATTCGCCATAACGTGAAGATTATATTAAGAATAATGAAGAGAAGATGAGAATTGAAAGATAAAAATATTAAGAAGGGGGAAGAGAAGATGAGAAGTGAATTGTATAAGTTAAGAAAATCACATTTTATAGAATAAAAAATAGTCGTTTATAGTTGTTATGTAGCCGTTAATAGTGGTGTAAAAATTTGTTATAGTATCGTTAAAAGTGGAAGAAAAATTACAATTGTATACCTTAAATGATGTAGAAAAATAAACAGATGAGAATAGTAATATGCATGTAGAAAGTGCAATGAGAAATTATTACCTGCAGGCGGCATAGCCACCATTTATGAGAATACAAACACGCCAAACTACTTTGTAAACCTTTTGAAGGGTGTATAATGACAGAATTATAAAAATTATAATACATTTGTGGCATAGCCTTCCTTTGTATGAATGTAAACTAATTGAGTATATTTACATACCTTTCACTTGAATTAATAAGGGTAGAAGCTTGTAATAGGACTAGGGCTAGGACATACTTTCTTTTGATTTTAAGGTAGATGTTTGTAATTGGATTAGAGCCTCATTTCTTTGAATTAATGAATGTAGACAATCACAGTATGAATACAATGTTCGTGATGATAACATGTTATGAAAACTAAGAAAATGCAAAACTAAGAAGAAAGACTTTAGAGAGAGAAACTAGAGAGATTTTCATTAATCTTGTAAAGGTATATAAAATGAAGAGTATTAGAGTTCTATTTATAGAAAAAAAATTTGACACTATTCAAAGTTAATATTTGTATAATACTTACTATTTACGGTTAATATTTGTACAATAAAATTCTGACATTAACAATTATTTCAACTGACTTGCATAGTAATTTTAACTGAGGTGAACCGTTACTATTCATAACATATATATTATATATATGTAAATAAACAATTTTATAGATAGGTTTATCAATATTGCACCTTTTCAGATTTGACAATAGAAATCTCCAAAAATAAAACGGCTTCTATTCTTCGGGACAAAATTTCCAAGGCGAGAGAGAGAGAGAGAGAGGTACCGAGGGGTGAGGGGTCCGTAGGAGGAAAGTTAGAGACTGCTTTGTTTTTCTCATCCGCATGTAAAGGCGTAATCAACGTGCTGTCGCTGACTAAATTAGTCAACCAGTCAAACCTAAGTCGGTTGCTTCCCATTTACGGTTAAGAAAAAAATAAATAACAATATGAAATTAAAGGGAGTGAGATTAATAATCTTCGCCGCTGATCATTGTAAGAAATTATTGTAGGGTCTAAAACCGTGAATATATATATATATATACACACACCAAGTTTAATCAGTTGGGCTTTGCGACAGCAAGACTGAGACCCAAGAGTTTTGAAAGCTATAGTCGAGCTTCGAAGGTGCCAACTTCACCAACTGAGAACCTCAGTAGAACGCAATACGCAATGATTTAGCACTACCATTATGATACAACCCAAAAAACAAAAAAACAAAAAAAAATATATATATATATATATTATGATGCCAATTTGTCAAATAAGATCTGCTTAAATGGTGTGATACCATAAGACTATAGTGCTTACATACAGTGTAGTCATGTATGTGACAGCATCAATTCTAGCCTAGGTTTCATCCAACAACATTGGGAGCACTCGACAGCACGTTCAGGGGACGAATGAAGAATCTTTACCACAAACTACTTGATTAACAGTGATCAGGACAATTACATATATACATATACATTTCCTCTTGCCTCTGAAGGAAAAAGAGTACTTGTATAATACAGCTAACTAGTGAGATAGAAAAGGCCATTTCTTTTTTCCTTTCGTATTCTTCTTCGGATTCAGATTCAAGACACATGAGATTTGCATGACATAGAAGACCACAACAGGTTACAAAAAGATGCCTAATGAGAAGCCAAAACCAGCTACTAATCTTAATCCATGATATGCTTATTACTCCCCGTGCCGCCTCCACCTCGGTAGTAAAAGAAAAGGATCGGTGTAATGTTGTTAGCATAAGAGTGAGTTTAGTCAAAATAAGATCAGTTCTACACACGTGTTGTCAGGCTGCTGGTAGTTGGTACGCGATGAAGTTGTATTATATGCGTTCTCAAGCTACAATCCTTTACCTGTTGTAAAAATGATTGGGATGGAAATGAATAAAAATGGGCAACAGAGACAGGGTTTTGAATATAGTTTCTGAAGCACTTACCTGCATGGCTGCTAATGTTGACAAAAAATCTTTGCACTGTTCAAGCAGAATCCGCTCTTTCCCATTCACCTTCACAAGTTCAGCCACCAAGGAGTTCATTTCCTCAATCTGTTAACGACAAATGTTTTTGTAAGGTTCCTTTCAATGAGTTAAAGTCGTCTACTTAAACCAGTTGGGTCATTATATTGAGACCACAGTATACAAGCAGGCACGCTAAGTTACATCGTTACAGATTGCAAGTGTTTATTAGGTTGCTGTAATAGAACACTTGCAAGACAATAGCCCATTAGCTCTTGCATTAAGAGTTCATCTAGTATGGTTACGGTAGTTTCTCATTAGAACTATAGTTTCTGATAACCAAATGCTGCTTACTTAGAGAAATCCTGGTTAATTAGAGGCCCCGATATGATAATCCAAAAATGAAATCAAAATATTCATGATGTACGAAATTTGAAATGTGCTATAAATAGCTCTACAATTTGAAAAAAATATTGATATTAAATCAAAGCGCTCTAGGAATTTGCCTACATAGGCCAAAGCCATACATAATTTTGTACCCTTGTTTTCAGAAAGACTTGTATCTGGACTGGATGCAAAATGGGCCCAAGGAATTCCTTTGTCATCAAAGAGGGCAAAAAACATTTTGACTTTACTCACAAAAAACAAAAATAAAAAAATGAATCATGGTGATGTAAATCATACCGGATTATATTATATAATATATATGTATATATAAATATATAACTTTAGGTGTTTTGATGGTAGTTAATAACTATTGAAGAAAAACAACAAGATTACCTTCGTAGAAAGAGAGCATATTGAAGATGCCATTGCCTGCATCACATCGACCGCTGAACCCACAGCATCCTTCAGATTTTGAATGTCAGCCTGATACGGAAGGTGGGGAAGAAGAAAAAAAGAATCCAAGTTTCAATCAAAATTATATTGCTGTTTGAGCTTTGATGTCTGAATACCTAATAAAATGAAAGCATAAGATGAAGACACGTACTACTGTTTTCCCAACAACTGGAAGACGAAGAGTGCTGGCCTTTAAAGCTTCAGTTGCTCCAAGCAAGGAACTAGAATGATCTCTATCTAAAAGGGCCCAATCTTCCAAATAAGTAATCTACATACACCAAGTAAAAAACTTGTTTCATTAATGGCAAAGAGTGTAATTTATCAAGAACAAAGCATTATCAACTCCATTATCACTGCCGTTCACTCGTTAAGTTAAAAATTTCTAATACACAAAGCCCCTAAAGAGAAAGGGATTGATCATCAAAAGAATTGCTTGCACCTCCTTGAATTTGGTGTTGATAAAAATAAAGGGTAGCGTTTCCTTAGAAAAATTTTACTTAAAAAAAAAGGAAGAAATTCCTGTTGATAATTACTAGTATCAGGCAAATAAGAACCGTGTCACAAAATTGTTATAGTTTTTCCTTGGATAGACAAACAGCTTTCTTAGGTTCTAAGATGCCACAAAACATATTCACTTCCCACTAAGGCCTTGATAATTTTTAAGAGCAAGAAAGATATGTTAAAGCGTAAGAAAGATGTCTCAACGTATCAAAAAAAGAAAAAGAAAATATATGTGCTAACCAATAGACTAAAAAGGCTTGAAATTATTAGCCTTTTTCAGTTTAAATAATTTGTTCGAGGCATTTTTACCTAATGGGGTATATCAAGTGCCAAATTCGTACTATAAAGAGAGAAAGATTCAATTAATAGACATACAAAGCTCTGAATCTTACTTGTCCTTTGATGATAGAAGTAAGCTTCAACTTTTGCCTCAACAATAGTAACTTGATCCTTTTAAGCGTGACAGAATGCCGAAGCTCTGAGATTGTTACCCATGCATTCCACAAATTTTTCTGGTGCCAAGGGAAACAAATTTCATTAGGCCATTAGACTCCACTGCTGTGAACATCACGCATCAAATGCAGATATCAACAAAATGCAAAGCCTACTACAAAGATTAATTCATTATACATACGTTAAAAAGAAAGAAGGGCTCAAATAAAAACAGAAATGAAAAATATGCAGCTTAATTAAAAGCATGGGGTGATAATAAAGTCGAGCTAAGCTTTTATAAGTTTCTAATTTCGGCAAACTCAAAGATGCTCATCAGTCATCACAAACTAATAATCTAACATCTATTGTGAAAGTGGAACCAAATCTAACACCACATCACCTTCTTCACCAAATCTAACAACAGAATGACTTCTTTTTTTTTAATTTCTTTCGGAGCTAAATAAATATTGAGGAGATCCAGAATGATATACTACGACTAAAAATAAAGCTTCTTGTTATCCTTTTCTTGATCCCTAGTCTAAAATTACATGCCCTTGCAAGATCTTCCATTATAATATGTGGGATGCATGCTCCATTTGACGTCACTAATAAAGCTGAATGGTCCTCACTCCTCAAGTTTGTCTAAGTTTCATGATCACTCAGCACAGTAATGTAAATGGTGCTTTTTCAATTTTAAGAAACGCACTGACACCACCAAATTATAGATATGAAAACGTATAGTTTCCTAATCCTCTCCTCAAAGTTCAAGAAATGCAGGTCAATAAAAACCTTAAAAGAGAAACTGAGATATCTTAGATCGCTTTTCTAGTCTTTCCTGATAGAACAGAGCATTCTCATCTTACATACTAAATACGGCCAGCTAACCAAAGTTTTATATCTGTACCATAGCAACAAGCCAAGCTAAAATCTTCTTGTATCTAAGCCATCCGCTCAATAAGTTCCCAGAGAACAACTTTAACCCAGCTAAAATTATGTTTCATCCCTTTCATACTGGAATGCCATATATCGATAATCAATAAGAACCTATAACTTCAATTAGACTGAAAACTTTTCAGAACCCAAACCACGTTTAAGGGCATAGCGAACATAAGCTTGACTTGCATCTAAACAATAGGAAGCTACAAATTTGACCTAAAAAGAGCTAAATCGAGAACTTAGGACATTCTCTCTGCGGAAATAAGGATCATATTCCAGCGAAGATTAGCATTAGAGTTGATAAAATGATTACAAACAGGAAAGATGCAGACAGTTGGAACAAAAACCATGACAACATAAGCATTAGAAAACAAACACAATGCATAACATAACAAACAACAAAATCCTACCTCTGCGTTCAGTTTCTGCACCATGAAGGTGGCGTCTGCTCTCGCATTCACAAACCGCCACTGCAAATAACGGTTATACAGAAGCCTCAACATGTGTGCATCAACAATACGATCCTCCCCCATCTTCCCTCTCCGAATATCGACCGAAAAGCTCAGAATCGACGGCGTGTTGCCCCCGTAACTACCATTCATCGACCCTGCAACCCCATTTCTCACCCGCGAAGGACTCGCAATCCCTCTCGATGGTGACATCCCTCTCGACGGCGACGGCATTGACGAGGAAGTCCACAGCTTACTTGGCGAAGCAGGCCGATTCGCCCCTCTAATTGGTGAAGCCATTGTCCTTGGAGACGACAATGGGTTGATATCGCCCGAATACCTCTTCGACTGAACGAACTTCGCCGGAGCTCCCATTCTCGAACCCGGACTGGTCGACAACGGGGAGCCCGGATCCTGCAAACGCCTCAATCGGCTATTAGTCTCTTGCCAAAACCTCGCCGAGACCACAATTCCTCTAGGAGTTCCCGTCCTCGCCTTGGAAACACCATTAGCATCTTGCATTCCCGAAGTACTACCGGAAGAGACGCTGTCTGTATCGGAGGCAGTGAGATCAGACGGCGCAGAAGACTCGTTGTTGGACGAATTCACCTTTAGAAGCTCGGCGCTTCCCAAATCCAAGCTCAATCTTCCATCAAACGAAGACCTTCTCGTCTCATCTAGCAGAGATTGCTGCAATGCCCTAACCACCGTCCCAGATCTGAACCCGTTGAGCTTCCTGCCGTCTCCTCCCGCCCCGAAATCGACGCTTCTCGACAACAGCGGATTCGAATTGCTCGAATTTGAGTTCCCTTGCCGCGTCCTCGCCGGCCAGCGGTGCTGATCGCCGGGCTTGGAGTTCTCCAACTGATCTCTCTCCCCTCCCCGTAACGGCGTTGTTCTCCGCCGCTCCGGCGTCGCCTTCCTCGCTCCGCTCGGCGTCGTCGGCTTGGTCTTGCTAATCGGAAGCGAAAAGGCCTCTCCTTGGAAAGAAACCGACAAACTCCTCGTCGAAGTTACGAGAAGCTTCGTCGCCGCCGATACTTCTTCTCCTCCTCCGGCATTGCCTTGGAGAGGAGTCTTCGGCCTCGGCGTCGCCGCCGCGGTCACGGGACGCCTCCGGTCCACCGATTGGGAGCGCTTGGAGGAAAACGGCGTCGCAGAGGCCAAAGAAGCCGAATTGGTGGAGCGAGAAAGCAGCGGAGAAGGGCATCTTCTGGAGGAAGACGAGGAAGACGACGACGTCGTTGTGGTGGTGGTGGCGGTGGTGGTTGTGGTTGAAGTGGAAGAAGAAGAAGAAGGGGAAGGAGACATGTACCTGGAAGAGACTTGTCTGCCTCTGGGTTGTTTCTTAGTGACAAGACCGCCATTGTTCTTCTCGGAAGGCAACAATGGAGGTCTGGAGGGGTTTTGCTGGGAGGATGACTTCGTTGCTTCGGAAATGGCAGCCACCATCATAGTAGGCCCTGGGTCTGAAATCCCCCTCTCTCTCTCCTCACATTGCCTCGAAGAGAGAGAAAGAAAGGGTTTTTTCCTTTTTCTTTCTTTGTTTCTTTTTCAGCTAAGAAACCCAGAAATATCAAATACCATCCATGGCCGAGAGAGGAAAACTACTGCAGATTCAAGAAATCGGAAGGGAATGTGGAATCGACAGGTGAGTTTTCGGCATGCTTTCGGAGCTGGGGATGAGAGAGAAAGTGCCTGTGACGGTAATGGGTTTTGAGAGAGAGAGAGAGAGAGAGAAGTAGGTGAAGGGAAGGTTGTGATTTGGGGAGGGAGAGAGTGTAAGAGTGTCGTCTCTCACTGGAAGAGTTGGGTTATTTTTTTTAATTTTTTTTTTAAATGGTGTGTGAATGAATCTTTGGAGGAACGTTATGTTTGTTGTTAATTTTAATCATGTTTTTGTTCTAAATCATTTTTAATTAATTTCTCCATCACCTGCTAAAATGATAATACTAATAATTTCTCCACTCATGTATATAATTAAGGGAGAATGAGAAAAATATGTTAAAATTTAAAATGAATTAAAATTAATAGGTTAATAGTTTATATAAGTTAATAAACAGGTTAAATTATTATTTTTGTCCATAATTTGTCTGGTTATGAACTATAACTTGACAAGTTATTGTCCATAACTTATCTGGTTATGAATCATAACTTAACAAATTTATCCATAACTTATCTGGTTATGAACCATAACTTAATAAATTATGGCTTATTAATTTCTATAACTAAAAATTAGTCTATATATTTTCTTAAGTTTTTCATATTGGTCTATTTCCTACCATTTCCCTATAATCAATTCCGGTTCTTTTTAAAAAAATATAGAAAATACTTTCTAGCTCTCTCTTTTCTAAAAACAAATAATTCACTATTTTTTAGTAAAACAGTTATTCATAGTAATGTGTATGTCTAAATATTATGTCACGTTAAAACAAAATTAAATAAAAGAAAATAAAGAGCATAAATAGTTAAATTTTATATTTATTTTTTTCATTGTTTTCTTTTTTTCCTATTTTTTCCTTTTATTATGTTTTTTGCTGGTCTCTGTCTAAAATTCTTTTTGATAAGAGGCACATTTATTTCTCTCTTTGCTTGTTAACAAACAACATATAATTTGTAAACCTTTTTTTTATTATTTTCTTTGAAATATTTTGACAATACTCCTAAAAAAAAGAAAGAAATACTTTGACAATATAGCTAATCATTTCCAAGTGTTCCTCATAAGCAATCGATTTCCTTATTTTTATAAAAGAATTAATAAGCTCTTTTTTTTTTTTTTTTTGAAAAGTATTAGTAATCTCCTTAAACATATGTCTATAATAAAAAACATAATGATCTTTTTCTATGTAATTATATAATTGGGAGAATAGTTTGTAGATTGATGTCAATATGTATTGACCATTAAGGTTGTATGTCATTTTATAAGATGTCAAAATAATAAACGTATCTCTAAAAAAAATACAATAATAATAAACGTATAAAAGAAAATGACACTCTTTGTCATATGGTAATAATTACTCCTTGTATTGTCTAAGGTGACACGACATTGTTCTTTTCTGGACTCTTTTTTTTTTTTTTTTTTTTTTTTTTTTTTTTTTTTGCTTGAATCTTTTCTGGACTTAAAACAACTTTATTAAGAAAAGTCTTGATTGCTTCCGATATAAGAAATTTCTTATCATAAAAAAACTGCGTATGGTGTGTATGAAGGACGTTCTTGAGCTTATCAGCATGTGCATTAACAGGGTAAGGAAAAGTTCAACCAAAATATATACACACACATATGTAGAGAGAGAGAGTAAGGAAAAGTCATACACAAAACACATGTATCAAATGCACTATATTCCATTTACCAGTAATGGGATGATGGACAGTGTTCAAGATTCGATCTTTAGAGTCTATTTCTATTCAATTAATAAATTGTGCGGTGTTGGATTTGCAGTGAGTGAGTAAAATTGAACTCATTTTTCGAGTGGATTATTTCCGTTTTATTAGTAAATTTCTGAACTTAGGTTGTAAATAAATAAAACATAAGACGGGAGGATAGTAATAATTTCTTTTTTATTAAAGAAAGAAGTGTACAACATTTGCCTTTCTTAAGAGAAATCTATTACCGTGTTATGCATACGCAAAATCTAGTGACTAAAAGATAGCTGGAGTAATGCATGTGAATAAAAACAGCACTTTAACAAAACAAAACGCAAAAATATATTACATTTCAACTCATATTTTTACTATTGCCAGATAATCATTTGCCTTTCCCTTTAAATGAAAACTATACAATATAAATGGCCAGCTAGATTAGCTAGCGACAATTGGATCATATACTTGCTCCCTTACTCAATATTGCTGTAAAGTAGTAATACTTTTACTTTAGTATTAATACGTAAATTTTAATATGTAAGTTTTAATAGTAGGTTAGGAAAAAATATCATATCAATAATGTTGTTTTAGATTGTTAGATATTTATTAATTTCATTAGGTCTAGCAGATATTTTTGGCTTTATGATGGTTCAATATAATATGATATTCTGTGTAAATGGTAAATTCTATGTGATTAATAGTAAGAGCATAGTCCGATCGCCTAGATAGGATTTAAGGCCCGTTTGGTTCGCTGGTTTGAATTTTATAAATTTGAACTGTTTGATTTGAACAGAAAAATTCAAACTGTGTAGTTTAAATTGTAGTTTGAATTGATGTTTGAATGTGTAGTTAAAGTTTTAATTTGAACATAGAATAAAATTTAAATTTGTGTTTGGTATGTGTGAAAAGCAGAGAGATTTGACACTTTTTACTATTCAAAAATGGTTTAAACGGTTGAACTTAAAAGGGAAGCTAAACTCTAAGTTGGGTCGTTTAACTCAGTTTAAACGAGAAATATAATTCAAACTGCATGCTTACTAAACGTCAGTTCAAATTGAATTGAACTGAAATAAACTAGTGAAACAAATTGAGGCGTAGTATATGAATAAAATAAAAATTATAAATACACACAACTTAGTAGTTCACCTTTAGTTCGGATGCTGCGTATGTTCGCTTGAGAGTTTCACTAGTGTAGAGATATATATTCCGAGATATGTTTGTTTGGGAATGAAGAAAAAAGCCAGAGAAGGAGAATCATAGAGCAAAATGGTGTTAAAGCCTCTCCTCAACCCCCCCTTATTAGATTGTAGGGAAGATCCCTAATCATAGTATAATTCACGTCGCCCTTAGTTTACTTATTTATTCTATGATTTGACATTTTGAATCTTGGATGAAGTTATCTTATTTTTTGTATTTTGTTTGAGCGAGCTCTTTGAGATCATGAACATGCCATTTTTAACGAGACTTGATCCTAGACTCATGACATTGCAATTGTCTGGAGCTTGTCCTTCTAAAATGTTTCGTCCGACTAGTTGTCTGGAGTTGACTTTGGTCACAGTACTGAATTTTGGTCAATTCTAGCTAACGACTGTCTAACGGATGATTTTGGGCAGTTTCGTAACCCTATTGGTTGGTTCATTTTGTTGGCCGAGTAATGCGTGTATGGAAGAGATGGAGGTACGATAATATGAGTATAAAAGCTCAAATTATACTGTATAGGCATGTTTGTTGTGCGAATTCGAGTTTTTAATTTGAACTAAGATATAATATTTTTTTAAAGTTTTTAATTGTAGCAGAAAAAGTTAGATGTGATATTTTTTTAGAGCTTTTAACTATAGAAATTTAGAATTGAAAACTCAAATCAGTGAAATAAATGAATAATTCCGTGAAAACATTTTGCAGCTTTTATAATGTAGCATAACTGTGTAGTTTAAATTGTAGTTTGAATTGATGTTTGAATGTGTAGTTAAAGTTTTAATTTGAACATAGAATAAAATTTGAATTTGTGTTTGGTATGTGTGAAAAGCAGAGAGATTTGACACTTTTTACTATTCAAAAATGGTTTAAACGGTTGAACTTAAAAGGGAAGCTAAACTCTAAATTGGGTCGTTTAACTCAGTTTAAACGAGAAATATAATTCAAACTGCATGCTTACTAAACGTCAGTTCAAACTGAATTGAACTGAAATAAACTAGTGAAACAAATTGAGGCGTAGTATATGAATAAAATAAAAATTATAAATACACACAACTTAGTAGTTCACCTTTAGTTCGGATGCTGCGTATGTTCGCTTGAGAGTTTCACTAGTGTAGAGATATATATTCCGAGATATGTTTGTTTGGGAATGAAGAAAAAAGCCAGAGAAGGAGAATCATAGAGCAAAATGGTGTTAAAGCCTCTCCTCAACCCCCCCTTATTAGATTGTAGGGAAGATCCCTAATCATAGTATAATTCACGTCGCCCTTAGTTTACTTATTTATTCTATGATTTGACATTTTGAATCTTGGATGAAGTTATCTTATTTTTTGTATTTTGTTTGAGCGAGCTCTTTGAGATCATGAACATGCCATTTTTAACGAGACTTGATCCTAGACTCATGACATTGCAATTGTCTGGAGCTTGTCCTTCTAAAATGTTTCGTCCGACTAGTTGTCTGGAGTTGACTTTGGTCACAGTACTGAATTTTGGTCAATTCTAGCTAACGACTGTCTAACGGATGATTTTGGGCAGTTTCGTAACCCTTGGTTGGTTCATTTTGTTGGCCGAGTAATGCGTGTATGGAAGAGATGGAGGTACGATAATATGAGTATAAAAGCTCAAATTATACTGTGTATAGGCATGTTTGTTGTGCGGATTCGAGTTTTTAATTCGAACTAAGATATAACATTTTTTTAAAGTTTTTAATTGTAACAGAAAAAGTTAAATGTGATATTTTTTTTAGAGCTTTTAACTATAAAAATTTAGAATTGAAAACTCAAATCAGTAAAATAAATAGATAATTCCGTGAAAACATTTTGCAGCTTTTATAACGTAGCATAAAACAATATTTTTCAGACGTCACAAAACTAAATATTAGTGTAGCTTTGAGATGTCTTGTAGTTCTCTTATTATAATTTCACATCGGTAACTTTATGTAGTCACGTGACAATCATGTTCTTGATGATGGGATGCAATTTACTGGGCGGGTAGGGGTGGTATAATGACACATGCATCATTTCAACTATCAGGTTTAGCTCCTACAGAAAATCTGTTGAACTTTGTTTCGTAAAAGGAATAATTAGGTATGACATAAATACTGTGTGGAGTAATTGTTGTTATAATTATGAATTAATAACAAGTAATGAAAGTGGCAATGACAGGCTATTAAGTTAAAAACTCCAACAACAATATAGATGGCGCTACTTTATTTTCTTCTCTCCTTTAATTATTTTCCTTTTTAGTCATCTCTCTCGTGTTTTTTGTTTTTTG